GGATGACTACTTTTTACTTTTACTTGAGTCATATTATTCTGAAGTAACAGTACTTTTACTTGAGTACAATTTTTGGCTACTCTACCCACCTCTGCACGTCAGTGGTGCCTCATGTTGCACTAGTAGCTGTCAAACCAATAGCCACTTTCTCACCTGTCTTACATGTTTCCACATAAGCCTGATCCTTCACTGTCTAATGTCCAGCCTGCACATTGTATTTCAAAAGGAAATGATATCATACGATAAAGTTTCATTACACATTGAAAATGATCTTAAATTGATATTTAAAATTGTACTGTTCCAAATTAGGACACCAGCTCAGGTGGTGGCAGCTTTACAGTCTGCTGGTATTACTTACTTGTCATTGTTTGCTCTCTGCAGTGCTCCACCTCTTAAAGAACACAGACAGCAGTCCTGGGAGGAAGAAAAACAAAGAAATGTGTTATTTTCAAAATACCAACTCTGGTAACTGACTCATGTATCTTTATCACATCTAAATCCTGATGTCTGGATATATGATGTTCAGCTGTATATTATTTATGGCTTAAACTGGGGATAATGCAATCTCATGTACTGGATCACATGGATTATAAAGCTCAATCTGCTGCTAAATCTTGTAACACACTGCGCACCTGGTATAGCAGGTGTTAGAAACGCTTCACTCAACTTTCTTAAAACCTGTTCTAAAGTACATAGTGGCATTAATAAATATACAGCGGCCAACAGGTGCAGCAATGCAGGCAGTCTGAAGACAAATTATGATTCTTTACTTTCTCACAAACAGAAATCTACAAACTATATTATCTTTTATATTTCTTTTTTTATCAAATTAAAGAATCCCTTTTCATTTCTTCAGTATAAACAGTTCAAAAGAATGCAAACCATCTTGTGTCATGCTTAAAATAAAAAGGAAGAACAGGGAACAAGAGCAGAGTACAGAGTATTTTAATTTCCTTGTTGCGAAATTGATGTCTGTGACAAGTATATGTCCAACAAAGCACCCTCTCCTGTTTAAAAAGAGTATCACAATTAATTTTTCATCTGCAATTTAATTTTCTCATGACATAGCTTTACATTCCTGTCGCTTTGCCTCTATATCAGACATTTATTTTAATCTCACCTCACCTCTAAAGTGCTGCTGTTGATTGACAACAGCATTTAAACTTCAATATGTTGTTCATGGGCTCTCTAAACCTTTCAGACCTCCCTGTTGCAACAGTTTCAGTCCAACACACAGACTGAATATCACAGGAAACTCTTGAAAGTCAGAACCCAATGACTGATAAATATCAGAGGGAAAAAAAACTTGATGGTGACTGATGTAGTTTTCAAGACATGTTACATTAGAAATGGCTACAACCCATTAAAGAAAAGCTGTTATCATTAAATGTTCTAATATGCCTATATAATATACTTTATATATATATATATTTATAAGCAAAAGTGAAGCATTGCCCACTGGTGGTCAAAAGCTGTTTATGCCTAAGTTGGGCCACATTCTGCGAATGTTTAACAACAATCTATTGTTCTGAGCAGGCAGGAAAGCAAAGGAAATTTAAAGATACATTTTATAAACAAAGTTTGGAAAAACAAATCCCCCAAACAATAACACACAAAGGAAGGGAACACTCTCACTGTCTCAGAACAAAGAAAGCAGTAGTATAGAGAGCCAAGTGTGACAGTGTGACAAAAGCAGGTCTACTGTGGTTGTCAGTTGTATTAAACTGTTACTTAGTTCAGCACAGGATATCTTTGTAGTTTTGTTCTGGTACATAACAGTTTATACTGTGCTTTTAGGTAAAATAAAGACTGACTTTAAGAGACTCAATCCGTGCCCAATCATGGTGCACACACATTTTTGTTTGATGTACTTAAAAGGCAAAACAGAGCTCAACCATCAAACTTTACTAAATCATATTTCTCTATGATTTCCAATCAATTTTAACGAACAGATACAACTCTGCTGCTGTATGTTTTGTGTTTGTCATCAGTATGAGGAGCACTTTAAATTATTTTAATAAAATAATTACTGTCTATTACAGGCAGCCCAATTAACTAACCTCGGTGATGGCATCTGCCTCACAGCGGGCGCACAGCCAGTCGTCTAGCTCTGCGTCTTCCCCAGACACACCGTAGCAACCTGAGCAGGAACAGAAAAGAACATGTCACACAGTCACTTCTCATAGGCTTCATTTCACAACAGGGTTACTCGTGATTTTTGGCTGGTTTATTAAGGAGAACCGGAAAATCCTTGTATTTAGAACACAAAGATTATTTATGAAAATTTGGATCATAGATAAGGAAACCATCTTGTGCCATGCTTGAAATAAAAGAGGGACAGAGAACGAGAGAAGTGTGCAGGGATTTTTACTTTTTGTAACTGCTTAATTGTGACCAAAGAAATGCAAAGTGTTTGTGGATGTGTGTGTGTGCCTCTTGGAAAAAAATTCATATTTAATAATGAAACTATCAGACTATGTGGATGACCAGGCCAAGCTGAACCAAAATAAAACCTTTTGGGGAAAATAATTAAAATAAATTAAAAATAAATTGACTTAACTTTGAAATAAGGTAACTTTTTATTAACAATTTGTTTTACATTTAATTTCAGAAAGGTTCAGTGTGTAAATGTTGTGAGCTCCTGGCGCTACCAGCTGAATAATTTAGTGTGTCACAGGTTTGTACTTATCCAAAATCCATTCACTTTAGTGGTGGCTGTTTTTAAAAGAACTGTGTGTAACAGTAGCTTTGCTAAATGCTGAGTGGTGATTTCCTAAAGAATCTGAATGTACTGTATGTAAGACGTAGTTCTTTTAAAATACCTCAAGTGTTCCTACATATGCATTTAAATAGATACTTGTTCATCACTTACTGGTATGTACGCGGACGCAGCACTGAGCACAGCTGACCAGCCGGCTGGTACCGTCCTCTGCTAGATGGGGGTTAGACAGCAGTCCCTCCCCGCTATCATTTGTCTTGCTGGTCTGGGTGTTGAAACACATTTCCGGGATGAGTGGTTTGGACCACTGGCGGCCCCCTGGACGGTTCACCAACGTCATGCAGGAATTCCCACTACTGGACTCCGACTATATTAAGAAATATACATATACCTTGTTAAAAAAGAAGCATATAATTATTACTTATTACTATATTATTTATATATTCTATTAATTTTGACAAAATGTAAATTTTTGCTCATTCTACAACAAACATAACAAAAATGAGCCATAAAAGCCATAATCAAAGTAAAGCCTTTATAAAGACATCTGTTTTTCACTTGAGCTTTGATATCAAAATAAGTCATCCAAATTGATCCAGCTTGTATTTTCTGTTCCTGGTTCTAATGGCCATGAACCCTGACAAACCACTGCACTACACAGTCCATCACAGTATTTTCTCTGAAATGGCTGAATGTGTGCTTTAAAGGTTGATTGCCATAAATGCCAATTCATGACTGTCCACTTGATATAGATGAAAAAGGATGGTAATGATAACACTAAATAATAGAACTTCATAAAAGCCTAAAATGCTTTTAGTCACCTGGTGGTAGGTGTGGAAGAGCAGGCAGATGGAGCAGTAGGGGGCCTGCTGGCCCATGCTCTTGTTGTACTCTTTCTCCGCCTGAAGGTTATATGGCCGACACTGCCACAGCTGGGTGAGAGGCTTCGCCCATTCCTCTTTCTCCTCTTGCTCAACCTCCACATCTATGTACACTTCTACAGATAGGAGGATGGGGTGAAGTACAGAGGGGTAGTGTGAATGAAGGAGGAAAAGGGTGGTGGAAGCGTTGGGATTTAGAAAAATTAGGCGTGAGGGTAAGGATAGAGATAGAAAGTTAGTGCTTGGTCAATTGGCACCACATAAAATACTACTACATTATCAATACAGACTAAAGAACTGTGTACCATCGTCACTGTGCACCTCTCTGATGAGAGGGTGATGACGGGGCAGCTTAGGGAGCTGTGCCTGCTGCTGTTGCTTCTTCACAACTGACTTGCAGTATGACTGCTCTTCTGCCACCTGCTGGAGCAAGAAGAATATAGCAGGATAATGCTTATAAAAAAATAAATAAAACAGGGGTTACACGGTATCTGTAGCAATGAACATATCAGTTTCAATAAAGCCCCCCAATTATGAGGCAAACTGGGAGCTCTGTACTGGTATGCATACATTTCCAGATAAACACTGCGTGCATTGATCCCTTTTGAGAATTTGGTCACAGCTAACAACTACTTACATGATGATTCTGAGCGATCACCTTCATCTCATCAGGCATTGGTTTCCTGACAGGAATGGTGTCTTTCAGGATGACAATGCCACTATCCGCAAGGGGGCATTGGTAACTCTGTAGTTTGAACAGCATGAATAACATTGAATGTTCAGGCAGACTTCAGGATAATGCCTGATAAAAGGTGTATTCTGCCACCAGAGAGCTCTCCAAGGATTGTTCTGTTAGTAGAATCAGTAATAATGCTGAGCTCAAAGAGATGAGTATGCAAATAACATGCAAGGAAAATGCACCAGTACAGAGCCACCAAAAAATTAGTTGCTGTTTTTTTTCTTGGGTGTCTACATGCATAATAGTATTATAAAGGAAAGACACTGACTAACTGAAAGTATCTATGAGCAACAAATATAAACTTATCAAGTTTATATTTGTCCAGAAGCAACTACAAGCTTTTTTAGATCGTTTGGTGTTAAGTTGACATACAATGCATGCAGCAAAGAACACAAGCTGTGGTAAAACATGCATGTGCCAGTGTACAGAGCGCCTAACATTTGAACATTTTAACATTAAATTTCACCTGTTGCATTTTGTCAATGCATTTTCTTTTTAAAAAATAGAGAGAAAAAAAACCAAAAAGATCCCCAGACCTTTCGCTTGTTGTTTTTGGGGGCATTCAGCTCCATTGTGCTCGACTCGCTGGGTTGTGTTTGAGTCGGAGAGCAAGCCGACTGGCTGGTGGGCTCAACTTCAGGCTTCTCCACTTCAGTCTGAGCCTCAACGGGCACTGTTATTTCAGGCTTCTCCTCCTTTGGCTCCAGCTCGACAAGACTCTGTGCTTCCGATTCATTCAGTGCTACATTGGTAAGTACCATCTTGGATTCTGGCTGTGGCTCCGTTCTTTCACAGCTTGGTGCCTGAGTTGAGGACTGAACTTGCATGTGTGATGGTGTACAGATTTTGTGTTGGAGATGACGGGGTTGATGCTCTCTGGCATAGCTATGCACTTGCAGCTGTGTGTGAGGCTGCTGCTGCTTTTCCAGAGTGTAGCTATGCACTTGAAGAGTGTCTTTTGGACTCAGAGTCCTGTGGAAGAGAAGGCTGGCTACCCCCATTTTGCGGGCAGGCTGAGCGGTGGCTTCTGTCCACGTTGGCGCTGCCGAGATGGATAGGTGTCCGTTTCTGGGCTGAGACTGAGACGAGATCGCAGGTGCACGAGTCTTTGTATAATGAGGGGGGCGGCTGACATCACTGTTATTTTGGGTCAAGCTCCTGTGAAACGGATCCAATAAAGTAAGTTTGGTTGGTGTGACAACCAATTTTGGTGGGCCTGTAAATTAAATCAGAGGTCTCTGTTTAGTGAAAAATGCACACATTCATGCCACTTCATTTTATTTCACCACAAACCAACTGTTATTAGAGGCTTAGCTCACATTCATGAAACTAGTAAGATAAGGTTATAGTACCTTTATTTCTTTTGCCATCTTGTGACAGAGTACGTGGAGGTATAAGGTTTAGCCTGGGACGCTTTCCATATTGCTCCATATCTTCCTCATCTTCATCCTTGGGAACAACCTCCTGGGGCACCTCCAGACACACTCTGTGTCTCTTGGTCTCTATCCTTTGTGTAGTGCTGAGGGTTTACCAAACAGATACACAACAGTTAAGAAGAGAAACCATGGTCCCATTTCTTATTGGTTTCTGGTCTCAGGAAACTGTACAGTACAATTGAAAACCTATCTTTGGAATATTTATGAATGGAACGGTTTCACTCGATGGGAAATGCCTCTGCATGTGTCAACATTGAAAGCTCCATGGACATCAGGTGTGTGTCAAAGACAGATTCATTGTGACGGCTTTAACGTGATTAGAGCCCCTCTTCCTCATCCAACATGTCAACATTATGTGCCTTGCAATTGTAGTTACCAAATTATTGTTAGTAGATATTCCACAGTCCTGTGGTTTGTAGTACGGTGGACATCAATTTGGACTGTGATAATGATATGTATTGGTTCTGAGTTTCAACTGTTTTTTTGGAAAGTGGAAACAGATAGTAGATGCCAACGCTGCCTGTGTTGTAGTACTTACGGCCAGTTATTTACAAGACATTTATGATTGTTGCCAAATATTTCCCTTAACTTGAGCTCATGGTTTTGACTTAATTATGAATATTAACCAATACTGTGAATTGCTTTGTTTTAATTAGAACCTGCAAAATGTTGTATAAACATATAGGATTAGGGAATTTATGTTAGCGACTGATTAAATCTTTCACGGGTCACGTTTATACTGTTTCAATTGCTCAACCATAGTGCGAATCATGTTAGTTAAACCGATACAACCAATACTTCATAAGTCCCGCCCTTTTTGCTTCATACTCCAATAACAGTTGAGCCAGCCTCAGTCACCTTTCTCCTTTCCTGTACTTTGATATGCAATGTGCTAGGCTTGATGTCTATGTTGAAAAGACAACAAAACTTTAAAGATGGTTAAAAGAGAGAAATATAGCCTAGCACATAGCATATCTAAGTACAGGAAAGGAGAAAACTGATGGAGGTTCTGACTAAGGCTTGCTCAACAGTTACTGGAGCACACAGCAAAATGGCACAGGACTTTGAAAGGTCAGATCCACTGATGCAAAACAAGAGAGAAGCAAAGGTCTCTAGGACAGTCTGTAGACACATGTTGTCACTGGACTTTCCATGGCTAACATACCCAAAGTTGTTTGTTCAGGAGTACTAAATCACCCTAGTGCTAAAACATTTCATGGTATAAACCATTTAAACTAAAACACATATAGACTAGGATATTATTTTCTGTAGTAAGACCCACCTCTTCCGCTCTCCGTCCTCCCCACAGGTCTCCATGGAGGTACTGCTGCTGTTGATGTTATTAATTGACTCCCCCAGGAACTCCTTAGCTTCTGGGGTGGGCCGTGAGTGATCAATGGGTGCCACATCTCGCCCTGCGAGCCACAATTCATAGCGATCTGGCTGGAATTTCTTCACAAATACATCCATTGAAATCTTCACCATGTCTTTACGGCATGAGCACTAAAGGAAAGAATGGCACAGAAAGACTTTGATTCAAATAACAAATGCTACAGGTAATATTGTTGCTTGTAGATCTATAAATGTATAGTAGATTATATAAATGGTATATGTTTACATTCTTACTAGCAAGACAAAATCTTATTCAAATTAGGACATGCATGGTTTTCAATGCTATTTTTTGGCAGTCCTCACCAAAACAGCTTGCTTGCCATACTCAATCCATCTCTCTGTGGCAAAGTTGGTTGATTCTGCACAGTTGAAACCGTGGTTGAAACCAGCATGATAGGCGTAGGGGAAAGTTACCATGAACTCACCAGCCTCCTGAGTAATCTTAGGGAGAAATAATAAAACGATTAGTAACTGCAGTTGATATATTTGGCTGGGTATTAAGTAAAGGTCCTCTGGTTTGAAATACAAATGAACATATACTCTACTCATACCTTATCAAATGGAATGCCATACTTCTTCAGGATAGAGGGAGAGATGAGAGTCATCTTGTGCCTCAAAAAGGCCTCACAATTCTGGGAGCTACCAGGAAAAAATCCTAGAAGAGAGCAGATAGATATTTGAGTACATGATAGTTAAAAGCATTATATTACATACATCTATGGAAAATATTTCACCAGTCCCTCACCTTTAGCCAAACGCTCCAATCTTTTCCCATGCTCTGGAGGAACACAGTACCTGCACATATTCAAATGAGTCATCTTAGTCACAATACACTGATATAATCAGTTTATTTATATATATTATGTAGTGTGTTGTCACATGATGTTGCATTACTCCATAGAAAAAGAGTCAGAGCCAAATCTTTCAACTCACTAATATGAAACAGGAACCCTGCCTTCACTTACTAGATGTTTAGATAAATACAATGAGAATGTGTAAGAATGGACAGCTTGATTTCTGCATCTGATGAAGAAAATAACAGTTTCTTTACCATGATTTGGGTTCACCAAAGTGCAAGTAGTTGATACTGTAGAGGTCCATGTCCTCAGTGTGCCATGCAAAGGTGGTCTTCCACATTCCAAAATACAAATAGGGTGTGTTAACACCCTCAATAGTGATCCCGCTTTCACGTTCAACGGTATCCAAAATGGTGTCCAGATGGCAAATGTTCCACTCTTTGACTTCCTGCAGGAGCACAGACGATAATACAAGATTAACAGAGGACACCTGAAGCAGTGATAAAACCACTATGATCAGTATCAGCATCCCTATCAGGTCAACAGACAGCAATCAGAAAACCAATCAATACTGATTCATTTCATTCATTCACCACAGCAACAACATCCAAGAAGTGTCAACTCACAGGGTCATATAGAGTTCCATTAACATCTGCCCCATATATGGGAGGGTTATATGTCACATTCTTCCAGTACTTCCTTTCCAAGTCCTCAAAGTCATCATAATGTGGACCACAGAACCTACAAAAGGCATGGACAATTCTTAATTAGTACCAACAACATAAATGAAGTTCAGCATCAAAAGGTTAACACTGCAGCTGACTCTATACAAATTTA